GGCGGCATACAGGATAGGCGCCCTTGGGGGAGGGGGCGAAGGGAGTCAGGGCTGGTCCCGGCTACAAACCAAAGGCAGGTTTTCCTCACACTGAGCGGAACAAGAGCCCTACCCCCGCCGAGGCCGATGAGAAAGGACACGTCAGCGTTCAGGGATACGTGCCGGTTTTGCGAATACCACGAGGACAACGGCCACACGACGGCCGAATTCCTGAACCTGGCGAAGGTGCTGGAGAAAATGAAGCCTGCAGCCGGAGCCCCCCGGCCCCACTAGTGAGACGGGCGGCGGTCATACCCACGGGGCACCAAGCGCCGAAGCAAAAGCCGGCGGACGAAGCGGTAGGGGATATTCTCACCATAACAGGAGGGGGCGCCTCCCGGGGGGATGACCCATGGGAGGGTGGCCGATACGCCTCAGACGTGGACCGGACAACGGAGGCAAAGCGCCCGCGAACGAAGATGGAAATCTCGTTCACAGAAGAAGACATGAAGGATGTCACCACGCCCCACGATAATTCGCTAGTCATGACCCCCATCTTCTGGAGGGGGGACAAATCCAACGTACGCCTCCACAGGGTCCTGGAGGACACAAGGGCGTCCATAGACGTGTTGTACTGGAATGCTTTCGTTGATCTTGGCCTGGCTCGCGCAGACCTACTCCCGAGCCGGGCCCCCATTAGAGGTTTCAGACAGGCAGAAGTCCCGGTCGCAGGGACGATATCCATACCGGTCACTTTGGGTCGGCGCGCCCAAGCAAAGACGATCAAAGTCACGTTCACCATGGTAAACTTCACGTCAGGTTCACCACTGTTAGTGCGTGGGCTCGTCGATGCAAGCTCACTACTTCAACTCAATACAAGTGTTTACTCCTAGAATTACCAACCTCCTCCCCTAATCCATTAGGGGAGGAATTTATAGTGCTTCTTGACTGATCCTGGGCCTTGTGGGTTCGCCAGCCCACTTGCGCCTTCGGGCCCATTCGCGCGCCTAGGCCTCGAAGGCTGCTCATTTGGTCCATGGACGGTCCATGGTACCAACATGATGTTATCACAAAATCAAAATCCCAAATACAATCAAACATAGATACATAGATATACATACCCAAAAACAATCAAACATACCCACAAAATAACAAAATCAAAAATCCAAAAAAAAAATTCAAACATAGAAATTTATTGCTATACCATAGTATATATGCTTCCAACACCATAAATCAAAATCAAATTTCCAAACATTCCAACACCATAAATATTTCCATACATAAATAAATCAAACATACAAAAATAAAAATACCAACAAAGAGATAGATAGATAAAGAGATCAATAGATTAGGATCAGGAACAAAACGCATTTATAAGAGATGGATAGGTAAAGATCAAATGCAATAATAGAAAATCAAAAAATAGAAAATAACCCATCACATACCTTCACAGATGACCGGCGAGGCGAGACGAGAGGCAGCCCACGGCGAGGCGAGACTGAATGGCGGGAGCGAGCGGCGGCAAGAAATCGGGAGTCGGCGGTCGGCAGTGGCCAGTCGGCAGAGGGAGATCGAGGGGGAGGGTTTTGCGAATGGTAGCGGTCTGTCTGGATTTGAGGTTTTTATTAAACCCCAACTCTTACATGGCAGATTTCCACCATGTAAGTACACTTAAGTTCCGCCCGGACTTAAGTGAAAGCGGGCTTTTTCCGCCCGACTCCCCGAATACTTAACATGGCGGACATCCGCCATGTTAAGTCAATTTATTCGGGTAATCGGGTGGAATATTGCGGGGTAATCGAAATTTTGGACGGGATAGTTTACATCTAAACACCGCCATAGAAAATAAATTTGAACCACCGTTAGGCCAAAACCTATCCTCGGTGGACTCAAAGAATAGATGGCGGACATCCGCCATCTAAACAACTGGATTATTGATGGCGAAAATCCGCCATCTAAAGACCGCTATACAAGGTCCTTTTTTTTGTAGTGCAAGAGCTTTAATAGCTGATGTAACTGATCCAAGTTCAAAAGAGTCAAAGAACTTTAAGAAGGTTGTAAAGTCAAAAATATGGAATAAAGCTATGCAAGAAGAATTTGAAGCCTTACAGATAAATGAAACTTGGGATTTAGTACTGATGGGGTGAAACCCGACCAGTACTCCAAGACGCGCAAGCAAGCGCCAAGCGGGAAACTCCGCGGGAAATCGGACCGGAACTCAAGTGCGCAGAGCTCTGCTTCGCTAGGATTCCTTTCGCTCCAAATGACCTGCCTTTAATGAGTGGGGGATGCCTCCTATTTATAGGGGTTCTTATAGGGGTAATCTGGTCATTTGGGCAGTAACTGCCTAACTGATCAGATCAAGGCTCAAGATCGACTTTCCAGAGATCGACTTTCTAAGGGTCGACTTTCCTGGTGATCGACTTTATTCAGAAGTCGATCCCAGGGAAGTCGATCCTCAGGAAAGTCGATCTTCCTAGGATTCGACTTGGGACCACCCTAACCCTAGAATAGGTACCTTAGCTCATCTTAGGCTATTCGGACTTCTAGTTGCTGGTAAGTTGTGACCGGGTTCGGAATACTGTATCACCAGTACTCCCCCCTCCTCTGCGTATTAGATATCTTGGGATACGTCTTTTAGTACTATGGTATGTGTGTTGGACCTTGTACTATCAGTATTCCCCCCCTCTTTGCGTGCTGGGGTGTGGGTTTTTGGTGATGTCCCAAGATGCGAGATCCTCTCTCACCAGTTCTCCCCCCCTCTACGCCTGCGAGGTTGTATCTATGCTTCCACGGAGGTTGTCACGCGCTTTTGCTAACTATTGTTCGGTTTGTCCTAGCCGAAGCATACTCCTTGCGCACCTGCCTAGCCCGATTTCCGAGCGGAACCCTGCTTGCCCACCTTGACGCCTTGCCTGAGCTATCTCCGAGCAATGTTCGAGTCTCCTTCCTTGTGGCTGGGTTTGAGAGTTGTCTCTTCTACCTTTTTTTTAGAAGTGAAGTTCTCTCTTTTGAGGTCTCTTGCCTCCCTCAATCTGCTGTTTTTGCGGTTGAGGTTGAGCGTGCTTCCTTGTCTACCTATGTTCTTCCATAGGTGAGGTTTATTTTTGTATACTTGCCCCCTCCTTTTGCTCGCCGTTTCTGCGACTGAGGTTGAGCGCGATCCCTCGTCTACCTACGTTCATCCGTAGGTGAGGATTATTTTTTGAATACTTGCCCCTCCCTTTGCTCGCTGCTTTCGCGACTGAGGTTGAGCGTGATCCCTCGTCTACCTACGTTCATCTGTAGGTGAGGATTATTTTTTGAATACTTGCCCCCTTCCTTTGCTCGCTGCTTCCGCGATTGAGGTTGAGCGTGATCCCTCGTCTACCTACGTTCCTCCGTATAGAGGTTGAGCGTGATCCCTCGTCTACCTATGCGAACACTTACCTTTATATATATATATTTTTTTTTTGAATACTTGCCCCCTCCCTTTGCTCGCTGCTTCCGCGACTGAGGTTGAGCATGATCCTTCGTCTACTTACATTCATCCGTAGGTGAGGATTATTTTTGAGTACGTCCCTCGTCTACCTACGTTCTTCCGTAGGTGAGGATTATTTTTTGAACACTTACAATTTATTGCTTTTAAGGTAATTGAAAATAAAAAGGTAATTGAAATCAGCATTTCTAGAAATCTTATCTGTGGGATTTTAGCCGTCCTCCACTTCTTGGGGTTTTTCTCACCGCTGTTCATCTTCCGTCTTCTTCACTCTCACGCAGGAGTCATCTTCACGCTATTTCTTGCAGACGCGAATAGAGAGCGAGCAAACGAGAGATGTTTCCGACAGCGAACGCGCGAAGTGAAGGAGTCTGACTGAGAGAGAGGGAAAATTTGTCCGTGAGCGAACAAATCTGGTGGGTTCTCCGCGTGCGAGGTTTTGGGTTCTCCGCGTGTTAGCGTTTTGGGTTCTCCGCATATTAGCGTTTTTGGGTTCTCCACGTGCTAGCGTTTTTTGGGTTCTTCGCGTGCGGTTCGTCTGATAGAGGAGCGAGCATCGTCTTGCTCTGAGCGAAGCAAGCATCATGGATTCTCTAGGACAAGCAGCGAGCGAGCGGGGTCTCCGCGAGCGAATCTGGTGGGTTCTCTGCGAGCGTCTGACAGAAGAGTGAGCACCGGAGTGTCCGCGAGCGAGTGTCGGAGTGTCCGCGAGCGAGCGGCTGTGGTTCTACGTCTTTGACTGCCAGCGACAGATCGACCTCTTTCCGCGAACACCAGATTCCTCATACAGCTAGCAGAAGATGAGAGAAAACCCACTCGCTATTGGTTACTGACCTACAAGCCAAGGATTAACATGCCATATTCATTCCATACATCTTATCTACTCTTAATTGCTTATTTAATCGCTTTTTTATTATTTTATCTAAATCGCCTTTAAAAAAAAATCAACATTTCTTGCAAGTTGCAACTTGTTAATAGAATTTGGTTGATTAATTTGCTGTTATTTATTTGGGTTATTCTCGATTATCTTTAACAAAAATGAGATGGCCTTGAGGATCATCCTTTGGGGGGTTGAATGGAGGAGGATGTCGATCTGATCTTTGTGGTTTCAGTTTCGGATCTAACACATTGTTGAATTATGATGAAATCCTTTTCAAACCAATCCATTTTGTCATGGTATCAGAATTGATCTAATATAATCACAAAATGACAATAATGACAACTCAATCATAAAATGACAAATTAATTAAGCAATGACATCCAAATTGAAGTCTTCCAGTGATGAAATAATTAGACTGCATACCATATGATGAGTCATGCAATATTATTGTCTGATGTTTACTCTTAATTATTGATTACCGACATTTAAAGAAACAAGTTTGATGGTTCAAATGTTTGATTGATCTATGATGTCTGAACAATCATTTTGGCAAAACAACAAATAGTGTTTTAAAATGATTGGGTGGGGTTGGATGTGTGAAAAAAAGAAATTCAGGTTCTATCTGTAAATTTTACCAGTGAAAATAAATTAAAAAGTATTTTATGTCAAGAGTGGGATTTGAACCCACGCCCTTTCGGACCAGCACCTGAAACTGGCGCCTTAGACCAACTCGGCCATCTTGACATTTTATTAATTAAATTTTTATTAAAATATTGTACATTTGGTCTTGACTTTACTTGAATTAAGTTTGTTTAAGAATATAAAAATGAAATTTATGATGTTACCTCAAAGGCTCAAACCCTCCCTGCCTTGATGGAACCAAGAAAAGGAATAAATCGATACAAGGAATGAGGAAAACTCAAAAATCCTAGAACCCTTAAAAACTCAAAAATCAAGAAGCTAACAAAGAGGAAAGACGAACTCACCGAAGAGGGAAGACCTAGAGGACTCGACGACGAGCAACTGGAAGATGAGAAATCTAAGAGAGAGCTTTCGACTAGATGGAATGGGACTGGGGAGTTGTTGAGTAGAGTAGATAGAGTTTTCAATTTTCTGAAACAAGTTTCAACAGAATTCTGAAAGAGGGAATTGAAATATGATGCCATAAAAAATTTCTATTATTATCTGATTTCAATAATAATTCAGTTATATTAAGCCTGTCAATGGATATCCGAAATCCGAATCTGAATTTGATTTCGAATTCGTTTAGGCCTAAACGAATTCGGATAATCGAATTCGGATACGAATTCGGATACTGAAAATACTATCCGACACTAATCGAATTCGAATTCGAATACTTCTAATCGAATTCGATAATTATCCGAATTCGAATAAATATTAAATATATAATAATTTTATAATTTTAACCTTCTCTAATATAATATTGTAATATAATCTATATGTAAATATTAAATATCTTACACCATATTAACAATAAATATTAAATAACAATAAATCATTCTCAAATAATAAAAATATCAAATCCCTAATAAACCATTCTTATTTTGTTATTTCATATTTCCCATTCCCTCCTTTCTCAAGAGTAGCTAGGGTTTGCTCATTCTCATTTTTCTTTCATCTTCCTTTCTCATCTTCCTTTCACGCATGAGAATCTCACTCTGATTTTTTTTCTCACTCTGAGTAATATATATGTTTGACTCCAACTCATTTTGAATATATGTTTTTTGCTTATAATTATAATTACATGTAATCAACATCATTTTTGCTAATTTGTCCATTTCAATATCGTTATTTTTCCATGAATATATCAGGAGAAATATTGATTATGCTTTTGTTATTCGAAATGAAATTGCTACCATCATGTGCAACATATCTCAATTCTTGTAAAGCTGATGATGTTTGATGTATTCAATAACGGCATCGTCTGTTAGATACTTTATCGACAACCCTCTTTGAATGCAACCCCTGAATTGAGAGATGAGATGAGAATCCCAATTCTGAGTGTCAAGTGGATTACAATTTCATGATACATAGATCTTTTTACCTCACTCTGGTTGAACTGATTAGGTTTGGAACAATTTCGTCCACGACAATGATGTTGCTCTGCAATATGATTTTAAAATGATAAGACTAGAAGAATAAAAATAGCATGATAAACTGATGGAGGAGTACCTTGTTTTCATTTAAGATTTCGTCACTGGAGATCAGTTTTTCCATATCCTTCTGTTCTCTGTGAATGCACACCACACCAAAGTTTCTGCATATGGTTTTGACCTGGAATATACAAAGACATTGCAGATGCAAAACCAATCACTTATATACTAGTAATATCGGTTTCTACCATGTTAGAAAAGTTGAGATTATGGAGAACCACCTGCTCTGGAATCCAAACTTCAGGTGTGGCAAAAGACTCGAGAAGATCCGACCCACACAGAAGCATGACTTGCAGTGAGTCTGAAAACAAGAAAAAACTTGAATATATATTAGATTAGTATCATACTGTCATGTTTAGGTTTTTTCTTTTACGTTGTATTCTTTATGTTAGGTACAACAATAAAAAACCATTATCTTCTTGTTTTAGCAAAAATTTTAAAAACAGTGCAAATGTCAATTCAGAACAAATTTTCAAGTTCATAATTTAATATCAACCAGTTGATTAATGCTATCATTCATTCCAATGAATTCAGAAACCTTATCTTTTTGTTCCAGAGTCTTTAAATACATCCAGAAAAATGCCATCAAAATAAGAAGATATCACAAAAATATCTATAAAAACACATTGATACTTGACCAACCCAGACTTGAGAGGGATAATCAACATCAGATAAAAACAAGAAAATTATTAGGGAAATGAAATATGAAGAAAACAAAATTACTGCACACACCTTCTACTTTAAGAAAGCTCTTGCGAAAATAAGTCTGTATTCTACTTAGAACAACCAAAGTGCGTTGATAGCTTTTTTGCATCGCCTGCGAAAAATAAACGAGTTTAATGTAAAAATTCACATGGAATTCAACCAATTCATACAAATGAAAAGATATTTATTACCTCCCATTGATCTACCATCACAAAAGAAGAACTTCCAGTTGCTAGCTCACACATACGAATTCGATGCTCAGCAGGTAAGAGTCCCTAGAAAATTTTGCATGATGAGGAATACAAACACAATCCTGAGAAGATGGAAGAAAAAAAGAGTTTAAAAGAAAACAAGAAAACCTCCCCACATTTTTTATTTAAATTCCTATTTTTTTCTATTTGCACGATAATTTTGATCATGGGTCATTTAGATCAAATCCCTAGGTGCGGATTTGGTATACTAGAGTCCATCTAATATGCCACTCGCTGAATTTTTTGTAAGTAAGGTTATGGAATTCAAACTATATATTGATGTTTGTAGAAGACAAGATTTCTGGGAGAATCGTGATCTTGTTTCACCGATTCTATGACTATTTAACATGTATAGATTATGTAACTGAATCCATGATTACAGGCAACCATGGAATTAAATACAAAAGTTACTAATTAAATACAAAAAGTTTAGAATCAATACTCTAGGTATCATGAACACACAAAATGTGTCAATAAGAAGCAGTTTTACCTTTTTCCCATAAGCATCGTTCACCGGGGACATGTATCCGGCGATAACCAAATATCCTCTGGCGGTCAAAGCATCCTTAGCTAGCTCTAAAAGACAGCATAAACAGAAAAATTGAATATATATATAAAAAAATTGGGTAATAATCAAAGAAACAGACAGAGACTCTCTCCACTCACCAAACATTCGTAAATGCATATACGTAGGTGGATTGAAGCTTCCCGGCAAGACCAAGACAACAAACTTCGCCGGCTTCCTGCTTTTTCGTTAACAAGGCAAAAAAAATATATAAATTGAAAACCGATAGAGAAAACTATTAACTAGAAGGTATAGATCGTCGTCTCACTCAAAGGAGGAGGAATCGGGTGATTCTGACGTGGAGATTTTCTCAGTATGCAGCAGAAAATCCATGATTTTGGGGACTCTCGACGGAGAAGAAGGCGAAACTTTCCGACCCGGTTACTAAAACTTTATATTTTTATTTGGTGAAATTAATTTTAATTTTACACAAGATTCCTCCAATATTTATGAATTACAATTCGATCCAAAAGTATCCTTTTTATTTCGATTGAGGACAAAATGAGATGTGGTAATGAGAAGCCTTATTACCGCAGGACATCAAGCTTGTTGGATCATCATAAGCAAAACTATACGCGTGAGGACAAATAGACTTGAACAGATGAGAGAATGCCGTCTGTTTACACTTCCCCGGTGATCCGTAAACCTCACCGGTGCAACAATACTTGTCAGATTTCAACGCCAAACAAGCACTCTTACATCCGACAATCTTCCCACCATATCTCACCTGAAGCTTAGACGGGCAGCAGACGTTTAGATCAACCTCACACCCAGCCTTTCCGCATCCGACAGGCCCGCCGCCGACCGGGGAGATGGACACCGGGAGATTGAACCCATCGACCAAGCTGACGTCGTAGTAATGAATCGCCGACTTGGGTGTACCAAAAGTCATCTCGACGACTGTCGCCGGAGGTTTTCCACCTAAACCTTTGCAACGAACACGACCATTACAGTCTCCTGTCTCGCAGCTTCCACTCCTTCCGTCTTCGTTGAAATGACAGCCTTGTCGTGGCCAGATTCTTCCTGACCAAAACTTCGGCAAGGTGAAGAAACGCTCTTCGCCGGTGGATAAGTGGAATCCTCCATCTTGTGGAGTTGGAAAACCCCCACCGCCGAGAATCGCCGGCCAGATGCTATGGTTACAGTTGTTTACGAGAATGAGCTGCACACCATCTCCGACCCCGTCTCCGTCCACTGAGCATGTATGAGAAAGGTCTATGGATATGAACAGAAGGAGAATGAGAGCAATCAGAGCCGCCATGATCGAAGCTTCAGTAAGCTGATTGATTTGAGTTGTTTTAAAGACGAGTTTTTTTTTTTACTTTTACTTTTACTTTTACTTTAAATCTTTAATCTCTTTAACTTTATCTTTTTTTATTATAAGTAAAAAAAAGATTCCTTCCTTGAAGTTTAGTTTCCTTCATTACTCGAGTTAATCACTTTGATTAAAAGTTAACCCAATGGGTTTTATCCGTTAACCCGTGTAGTTTATTATTATTAAAATAATGGGCCCAATGATGGTCCAGAGTCCATTGGACCATAGATTATACGGATACGGTCCATACATGTCTACTAGGGTGTATAGCTGGATGAATTTTAAAATATTCTACAGAACCCTAATAATTTTTTTTTATTTATTACAAATGAATTACTGAAATTTTGCTAACAACCGCCTGAAATCAGTTGAGAGTGTGAGAGAGATGTTCTGGAAATTGGTGAGAAATACGGTGGCGGCCACGGCGACGTCACGACATTTCGCTACTTACACCAATGGACCTTTCTCTACTAGCGGAAGAAGATTCTACAGCGGCGGGGATGGTCAGCCTCAACAGAAGAACCACGGCGTGGCGATCCAGATGATACAGTACGCTCTAACCCACGCCCGATCGAAAAAGTCCGGTGGGTGGATTATTCGTTGGATGGATAGCTTCTCTCTTTTCTTGTTTTATCGAAATTACCAACGGATGTTTGTGTTTGTTCATTAAAGTCGATTCTTATGCCGATGCGATGCTGGTGTTGGAGCAGGGCGTGACCAATTTGACATCCAGT